AACAAATGATCTTTTTTCAAGCAATGGAACAACAAATAACAATAATAATACAGGATCATCATCAAATGTTGATCAACAAACAACAAATAATGATGTTAATAATTCAACATCATTTCTTTATGATACCGATTATAATCGAGGAGGATTTTCATCAACATTTGATCGAATAGCATTTCCGAATCCTTCAACCAATAAAGATCAACTTATGAATACATATTCTAATTTTACAATGATGCAAGCAGCAGCAGCTGCATCAATTTCGAGTTCAACATCGCATCATCATCATCATATGCAACAACAACAACAACAACAACAACAACTTCATCTTCAACAACATCAATCAACCAATGATTATCTTTTACCACCATCGAATGGTACATCATCATGGAAACAATCTGAACCAATATCATCATCATCAATAACAACACCAGGCAATGACATGATTCCTCCAACAGCAATGCCACCTCCTCATCCTCATCCTCATCATCAATTATCAAGTTTTTCTATGGCAGTTACCAATCCAATGCTTTATTATGCACATCCATGGATGAGACCAGGTATAAAACAAAGAAAGCAAAAAAAAGAAAAAGAAAGAAATCATGAAAGTTAATCAATAAGACAAAGTAAAAGAAAAAGAAAAATGATTTATAGATAACGTATGCAGGAAACATAAAAACTTGACATAAATGTAATCCATTGAATTGATTAACTTCCTTACCATCTTGTTTGTCTATTAATGTAATGAATGATTTGTAAGAGTCTTTTCTTTTTCTTCGTCATTTCTATAGAATTTAATTTTGAACACAAACGTACTCGTCAAACATATACACGTCATCAAACACTTGAGTTAGAAAAAGAATTTCATTATACGAAGTAAGGTTTAGAGAAAAAAAAACAAGTATTAAAAAAAAAAGAATTTGAATTTTTTTTTTCACAGATATTTAACCCGCCGACGACGTATTGAAATTGCTCATAGTCTTGCATTAACCGAACGACAAATCAAAGTAAAGAAAATTTTTTCATATCATTTCACCTTTTTTTCTTATGTGTGATTATCTTTTTTCTTTTTTTTTAAATGTCTTTCTAGATTTGGTTTCAAAATCGGTGAGCAAAAAATAAAAAATAAAAATTTAACTAAAAAAAATATTCTTCTTTTGTCTATTTTAGTCGTATGAAATGGAAAAAAGAAAATAATTTTAAATCACTTAATGATCCTAATGTTAAACTAGAAGCTAATGCAACAAGTCATGGTAGTAGTGGACACAATCATCATCCACATGCTATGTCAACAAATGATGCATCATCATCATCATGGCCATCGGTACCAAGTGTTAAAAAAGAAAATAATCCGCATCTTTCTCATCAACATCCTCATCAATATGTTACCAATGGAAATAATAAATAGATAATTACATATACATTTATCTGTGCATATATATATATTGAGAGAGACATTTGACTTCTAGTCGATTGCAATATGAGCACGCGTTCATTTTTTTTCTGTTTTGTTCATATTATTGTTCTTCTTTTCTTGAATTTGTTTGCAAAGAAAAAAAAAAATAATCAATTATAAAAGATATACATTTAAAATGATTATTGACCAATAGGATTTTTTGCAATTGTGTTTAGTTATATCGATGATTGATGATTCTTGTTATAGATAAGAAGAAATAGACTGTCTTTGAATGTTGAAGTTACTGAAATGGTTATTATCAATAGGAAATATCTGTATTTTTTACTAGGAACAGGGCTGGCCTGAGGCAGCTAACATTATAGGAAGGGTGGTGCGATTTTTCGAGAGGGTATATACAGGTTTTTTTCTAAGAGAATGCATGAAAAGTTTTTGGACAATGGCTTACCCCCGTTCCCTGATCAGGTCATTCCTGGCTATGAAAGAATGAATAGAATAGAACTATGAATATGATAGGAATGTTATACTTGTTTTTCATTATTTCGAACTAGTAGTATCGTCGATTTGGTTTTTTTCTAAAATACTGAGAAATAACAAGGAATTTAAGTTTCGAATATATACATGATTTATTTAATTTATATGTTTATTCTAATTTAAAATTATTTTCTTTTTCGAAGGAATATCATAGAAACTAAGTCGATCAATAAAGTCACTCGGCAAAGAACATTTTGAACATCGCCATCGTACTTTTGACTATTGATAAAGGAGTGTACATAGCTCCTATTCATTCAAGAAATATGTTCAAGTATTATACTGAAGTATTAGTAAATAAATTTAACAAAGAACTGTAATCTTTCGTGAATTATGAAAGACAAGACATTTATCTATTGTGTAAATATAATAACAAACGACACTATTGTAGAGTATTAATCGAAAAAATACATGTTGCTTATTCTTGACTAAGAGAATAAGTGAATAATATTTTCATAATTGATAAAAGCTTACAATTCATACCTTAGAACAATTTTTAACAAAGTTCACTTTGTGAATATGAACTATGAACATTTCTTAACCAATGGTCAAAATATCAATTCATTTGATCAAACTATAGTAACAATATTCCAATTTTCTTCTTTTAGTAGGTCTTTCTAGACAGCCTCTATTTTAAAATCAAACTACATAATCAATTACTTCGAATAAATAATATTTCCATCTTAATGTAATTGCATTGTAGATTGATCAATCGATAGCACGCAAAATACGTAATTTCCTTTCTTGTACTTTTCTACCAATTATATATTGTACTATTTTACTTTGTATGTTTCTACATGAATTTCATCTCATTTAATATTCAAAACATGCTTTCGTAGGTAGAATCAAATCATTTATCGATAGACTGTTAATAGATATATGCTTTTAGTGGCATTATTCTTTGTTGGATATGAGGTGTACAGGGCAAGTTCTTTCGTATTATATGTCCTGTCCAAGAAAATCTTTTCAAACTTCCTCTATGAAGTTTATATCTTGCTTTGTCTTCAACGTACTCTAGCTGAAAGATTTTAAAATAAAGCAATAAAGTGCCATTTTTTTGAAATTTCTAATGAAAAATATACTATCAAGATAGTTTCTTCATTGTTAATGATCAATATCATCTTCATCTTTTTCATTAGGTTTAGATTGATTTTTAATCACATGAGAAATAATAATAGTTTTTATTAAAGAAATCATTTTAACAAGAAAGTTTGCTTTTCTAGAATAGAATTAATTCATTTGTTATTCGTTAGTTTTGATTTTTCATGAAGATAAAATGTGTTACTATATTGGTTAATCAATCTTTTCTACAAATTTCTTCCATTTTGATACAATATTCATTTAATTCTGTCAATTACACAATGATAAATTAAAGAACTTCCGAGATTCTTGTAGTTCAAAAAAGTTTTTGGATCAGTTTATATGAATCAATGTCTAATGTTCACACCAGAATGAAAGACTGGTCAGTATAAATTCGATAACTCGATAACAACAACAGTTAACAATCTGTGGATTTTCAGAAATTCAAACAAGATAACTTTGGACGTCTTTTTGTTTAGATACTATTGAAGATAAGATTATTCTAAAACTCATCATTTTCTCAAAATCATCAAAAAGAAATCTATGAGCACGATGTTTCGTTACAAGAAAATTTTGATACGTGATTTCGTTTGTTCAATATTGAGATATGAGAATACAATTTCATGAAATCGTTCTTCGGATTATAGATCAAAAGTTCCTCTATCAGAAGCGTGTGTGAAAGTTAAAAGTACATCGTAATGAAACACCATTGTCATGTATTCTAATGTGAAGATCATGAAATTTAAAATAATTTTATCGTATATACTATCGGATAAAACGACGTCCGGAGTTCTCCTCTTTTCATTGCTAAAGACTACAGGTCGCTAACTATTGTTGTTGTTGAGTTATGAAGGTTAAACTCACCTTTCTCTAATTGTCACGTGCGGACATTGGTTTTACATTATATATTTGATCTTATTCTTTTTTGCCATCAACCAACAGCATCATATTCATCAAGTTTCGATTACACTAATATGAACCATGAGTAGACACAAAACTCGTATTCTTTTTACTTTCAATGAGATTCTATTGAAAAATAAGGTAGTATCATCTCTAATTTCGCTATTAACATCTTTAGAAAAGTAATTATATAAATATGAAACCCATTTTGATTAAGATTCTATCTTATAAATTTACATATAAATACCCTTCATAAGTTAGACATTATTTCAGAGTCCTTTTCATTTCTATCCGATCATCAACAATATATACGAGAGAAACAATGCAGGTAGATATTTATTTTCATAATTGCAACCAAAATTTTAATAAAAAGTACTATTTTCTTTTTAAAGAATTTTATTGTATTCATCATCGTTATTATCCTCGCTGTAAATATTCAATTTTTAATTGGTTTACCATTAATTGATGGCGATGATAATTATAATAATGAACGATTAAAACGTTCCGATGAATCTTTACTTCCAAATGGAAATTTTTCATTAGTGACAAACGAAAAATTACTTAAATTACAAGAACTTGCCAATGTTGTACAAGATTCAAAATTACAAGATTTATATCGTGCAGTGAATCATTATGTACAAATGGCTAAAAAAAATAATGAATATGTTTTATGGAAATATGATGCTAATCAAGAAGGTCTTGTTCTTGTACTTAAACAAAATTTAAATGGTATACTCTACTATGGCTAAAAGAGAAATCGTAGAATACGAATACAAGAATTCCTTGTTTCAATAACTTTTTTGGCTTTGAAAATTGAATGTACTTCTATTGAATGAAAGGGAAAAATAAAAATAAAAATTCAACGATTTTTATCTTCATTTATCTTTAATATTCTATCAAAAGATTGTTGCTTTGTTTTTGTATGAATTCTAAAGAAAATATGATTTAATCGAGTAACAGCAGCATATTTATCTATATGTATATGCAAAAAAAAAGAATGTAATAAACTAAAGTTTAAGAAAAAAAAAACATGATAAAGACAGGAACAAGTCCACGTTTGTTTGCATATAATTAAATTCTAACCAATGACAACTGTACTATCATCTTTGAATACATATTGAGGAACTTCAAGATTAAGTGGTGCTGGACCTTTTCGTATACGTCCAGATGCATCATAATGCGAACCATGACAAGGACAATAGTAACCACCAAAATCACCGGCATTTGCTATTGGAATACAACCTTCATATTAATAAAAAAATATGAAAATAGAAATGATTAAATTTTTTTTAAGCATGAATTCCTACCAAGATGAGTACATATACCAATAACAATAAGCCATTCAGGTTTTTGTACACGTTCAGAATCATTTTGTGGATGACGTAATTGACTAACATTGACACCTTCTTCTCGTGCAATTTCTTGTGGTGTACGGTGACGAACAAAAATTGGTTTATTACGCCATTCAAATACAGCATTTTTGCCTTCAGGTACGGCATCAAGTTTTATTTCAACTTTAGCAAGTGACATTACATCTTTTGCTGGACCCACATAAGTAACTATGTCTCGTACTATATATTTGGCCATATAAGCTGATGTTATAGCCATACCTTTACGAAAGAAAAAAATTGTATTCGAAAAGATTTAATAGGATGAATCTATTATTTTAGCCTATTATATATTGATGTTTTTGTATCAAATGATAGTTCGATATATATTTAAAATAATACGTGGGCTGTTTTTTTTTGTATTAATACTGATAGCAAATGTAAGAATTAGTTAAAATAGATATTCGATATAATCCTGTCTTTTTTTTTCTAAGACTAGTATATCATGTTTGCGAGAATTTGGCAACAAACATATATAAATAATTCAAATAAAATTAAGATTCGCCATATCTATCAAACTGCTAATTCGAATTCTATTCCTATTGAATCTTTTTGCAATCATCAATTTTCGTTAATATTTTTTCTTCAACGACACATGCTGGTTCATTATCATATACAGAATAGTATACATCAGAATAGATCAAATTTCTTTTGAAACAAAACAACCATCAACATATGATGTTATTAAAATTAAGTTTTCAATACAATGAATATGTACTGTATATTTTATTATTCGATGATAAAGTAAATGCTTACCAATTGGAGTTAAATAAGAATAAGGTGAAGTGCTATCACTAGCATCTCGATACGATTTTGATGCATCAAGACGTGCTTTACGACGATAATAATCAAAATTTGGTACTTGAATATCAGTATGCGCATGGCGAATGCTAAGAGCACCTAAATAAAAAGAAACATTCAATTTAGATAAATTCAAAAAAAAAATACAAAGGCAACGTAACTACGATAACATACTATTAAGTCCAGTTGTTATAGATGTATTACCATTCAATAAATATTTATACATCGAAACAATTGTCTTTAATGTTGGTGTTTCTGGTATAGATATATGTGTATGTTCATCAGTATGATGATCGTCTTCAACTTTCATTGGTATAGGTTTAACAAGTTGTCGAACAAGATTTGTTGTCACCTGAGTGACACGTCTGTTACACATTTGCATGGCCATATGTGAAAGTAAGTTTAGAGAAAAAAATGTCGTATGGTTATATTTTTTAAACTTAATGTGATTAATTAATATGAATTATTAAAAATTTTTCATCTAGAAATAAACAAATTTATCAATTCAAAAAATGTCTTAAAAAAGTATTTGGTTTTGTTATTGTTTTTTTCTTTTTATTCTACCAATAGGTAAAAATAACATCATCTTTACTATCTATAGTTTGAATTTCCATTTTAACAGGAGTTTTTAATAGAGCGGAAAGAATTTCTTCTGTATAACCAATCAAAAAATACATTCGACGTGGATGTATTGTTCGTGTTACAAGTCCACTAAGAATAATCATATTATGACGTCATTTTATAATAAGTTCCGAAGCAAATAATGAATGCCATGTACCATAAATAAATTGTCGAAGAAATAGATCATCACTTACTGTTTCTGCTTTACATTTACCATCACGTAAATTTGATGTATTAAATGTATTCCAAGTTTTTGTATGTCCAATTAATTTTGGAAATTGTCTTTGTTCATCTTTTCTAAAAGACAAAATTAGAGAAAAACAAAAATCAAATAAAACAAAACAAAACAAAACAATCATACAAGTTAATGGATAATTTCGTTTTCGTGTATGTCTTGGTATTGCTGCTTCTGTATTAACTTATGTAACATTTGTTAATTTAACAAACCAACTATGAAGAATTGGACTTGTTGATAGATAACAACGTTGATGATTAAGATTTATGAGAATGTTAAATTTTAGAAATATATTCATCGTAAAAATATAATGCAAAAACAAGTATCTCTAAAGTATTTTGGACAATACAACAAATTTTGTCACGATTGGGTCGAATTACCATTGGTATAGAAAAAGAGACTTTAGATAACTCGTTGACATCATAGTAATCTAAAATGGAAAGTAGTGCCATCTAACGGTTACTAGACTTAAGACCTTTATTTAATGAAAATAATGATGTACTGTTTTTGTTTTGTTAATCGATATTTTAACGGTAACTATCTACAGCAATATTCTCCTCATTTTATTTTACCTATATACTTTATAACAAATATAAAGTCAAAAAAATATTCATGCCATATTATCTTGAATTTTTTATCTAGTGCGTAGGTAGATGATAATGGACTATGAAGTTATTTGCCAGATGTATTATCATGCGCTGCAGTGATATGAGTATCTTTTAAAGAAACAAAAGGATGTGCTTGTTCTTGATATATCTATTATTTCTAACATAATTTTTCATTAAAGAAACGAATAAAACCATCATTCAAACACTTCATCAAATGATACCAGCAACATCGGATAGAACCATTGATTCTAGTGCTGATATGCAACAAACAAATCTTAGTATTCGGAAATCATCGAGAAGTCGTCATCGTCGAGAAAAACAACCACATATTATTATTGATATAGCTACACCAACACTTTCTCAATCACCTACTGCACAACATCAGCGTGCTATACTTGTTGAAGCAAGTTCAACCATATTTGGGAATGAATGTCTTCGACTGGTGAATATTGTTTTTCAAACAAGTCAAACATTTCCATCCATAATGGGTACATGTAATAATATATGTCAATATTTGCGAAAAGAACTTTTTAGAAAATATCCTGGTGAATATTTTCATATAATTATTGGTCAAAATAATGCATTCGGTTTTGCTATTGATGATGACGATTATTTTGCTGAAATGGAACAAGAACAATACCGTGTAATAATCTTCACAACAAGAGTAGACAAAGACGCTAAGTTAGTAATGCATGATGCTAATAGTCAGATGATGCTTGAATGGAAATCACTGATAGTCAAACAATCAAAAAAATAAAAGCATTACTTCTATTCTTTATTGATATAAAAGTGTAATAAAACTTCGTAACAGTTTTTTTAAATAAAAAATATGATAATTATGTCACAAGATATTACAGATGTTGAATGCGTCAGAATTTTCTATATATTTACTAAATGATTTATGATCGCACAGATAAAAAAAACAAGAATCAGTTTCTTTTTTCAAAGTGATAGTGCCGTATTCGATACTCCTAGTTTCATATTCTGATAATGAAGAGAGAAATATACTAACGACTATTCATGCTCGTTTTCAACTATTTTTAGCCAAACGACAGTACATGAAATTGATGCACTTTTTCAATTTATGAATATCATTAGGAAAAAGAAATAAGTTGAAAATACCAATACAACGTATGAATATTGAATAAAATGAATCTTGTTGAACGCTAAATCGATATTAAATAGAAACAAAATCTGATAGATTTGATTTATAGTTATATGACTTTACCAACTCTTTCTTCCACAACAAAAAATCGAAGTAGAATGTATTGTTTCGATATAAATTTATTTCTTTAGAAGACTGAAGAATAAGCAACGATTTTTACTATGCTCTCCATAAAATGATAATACTTTCCAGAAGAGACTACAACATTCTAAAGTGGTTTATTTTCATCTATGCAATACCTATGCAGCTAATAGGACATACATAGTTGTATAGCAGTGATGCAGTCATACTATACAAATTTTTTGCATGCTCCTTTATCAAGCATGAATATGATGAAAATATAATGTTGGCTTTAATAAAGGTTCTGTTTATCATTGATGAGTGAATGAGTTTTCTTTATGTATCATGATATTCTCTAAATATTGTCTACACGTTTTTTGATAGTAGTTTTATTCACCGGAGAATAAAACGACTCGTCTCTATATAGTAAGAATTATCAATATTATGTAGGAACCATGAGAGAAATGATAAAGGCAACTAATCTTTTGAATTCATATTTTTGTATTTTCAAGTTTTTTACTGCAATAAACGAATGCGTGATCTCATTCAGCGAATTTTAGTAACGATATGAACGGACTAGATTGGTTGATTTCACAGCGGCCAAATTTTTTCTTCAATAACGAATACATGTGCTATTATTAGTCAATGTCTCAAATAAGAATTGATGGAACAACACTCTGAGGAATATTTCCATGTAATTATTAGCTACTACAGGTCATTCGGTTTTGATACTAGTAATGCTGATTATTTTGCCGAAATTGAACAAGTACATTACCTATTATTAGTCTTTACAACCACCAGTAGCAGTAGGCAAGTTAAATAATGTTTGAACGAAAAGCACTTGTAATCAACTTATTCGAATAATTATCATGAAATACTTCTCATTTTACTTTTATTGTTTGATTTTAGCTGTTAAAGAAAGCAAAGGTCCGTTATCTCGGCTGTAGTACTGATAACTAGAACAGTTTTATCGAAATTTTTATTGTACGACATTGTGCATTAAAATAACCAGAATTTGAAAAAAAAAGAATTGTCTATTATTCTAAAATTAGATTATATTTTAATCTAGTAATCACTTGTACAAGCTAATAAGAAAGTATTACATTTATTCAGCAGAAGTCAATAGATTAGTTAGAAAGAAAGTCAGATACTCTACAACTTGCCGAACTGTTCAATTTATAAAAAAGTACGGACAAACGAACATTTTCGCATGAAATGATTCATTTTAATTTCACTCTTGCAATTCTCATACTTTAGTAACGATCTAGTTCATATGAAAAAACTTGAATTATTTCATGTGCTTAATTAGTTCTAGTACCGATTGCAAATAATAATTTGTTAGAAAGTTTTTCCTCAAAGAGTAAGTTCTACTATCTAAATGGGTTTGAAATGAATCACCAAGATCAATATCTTGAAGAGTTCTCAAAATTTAATGATGTGATAAGCCTCAGTGTGATGCACATATAATGAGTACACATGTATACTTTAGATATGAATCATTAGTTATTATATGTCCTTCTGTATGATTGCATCATAACACCATTATCTGTAGAGATAAAATGACGTATTTGGGTAAACATATCGTTTGTTTGTAACTTCTATAAATATGATAAAAACGAAAAAGCATGGACAATTAGAAGTGAAAAAAATTCTCTAAATAAAAGTTTTACTTTAACGTATATTGATGTAGAAAAAATTATGGGTAACATATTAAGACAATCATTCTGCTCTGTTAATACTACCAGTATGGATAATAAAATCAGTCACCAACAAAAAAAAATTACAATAAACAAAATTGTTTACAAAAATGACTTTCAAGGAATACAGGAACGAGATATTATGAGTTTAGCAATACCAAAACTCTCTCAATTGTATATTCAACGACATGAAAATGCCAAACTTATCAACTCAAGTACAATCACCTTTGGCAATGAATGTATGCGACTTGTTAATATTGCCTTTCACTCAAGTCAGATATTTCCTTCAATTATGGGTACCTGTCATGATGTCAGTCAATACTTACGAAAACAACTTCTTCGACGACATTCTAAGAAACATTTTCACATAATTATTGGTGAAAATGATGGATTCAGTTTTGCAATTAGTGACTTCGGTCATTTTGCTGACATCGAACAAGGACAATATCGTGTATTGATCTTCTCAACAAAATCACACGACACCATAAAATTTGATTCACATGATGCTAATAATCAAATGAAATTACATTGGAAGTCAGTTTTAATCAAACGAATAGATAATTATTAACTTTTTGTATATTAATCTCATTCAAAAATATATATCGAAATATTTGTCATACTCAGTATTCGAATGAGCTATCCAGGTCGAAAGTGAGCCATCGGATTCTGTCGGATCTGTCTCAATTCGATGAATTTCGACAGGACTCCGATTGTCGAAATCCAGTCGATTCCATCCAGTTTCGAGAGGTTAGTTATTGGATCGAAATCGAACATATGTTCTGTATGTAAATTTATTTCTAATAGAATGTTTTTGTAAATTTCATGAAAAAAATGAACTCAGACATGCTACTGATTGAGCAGGATGAAGAAAAATGATTATCAGAGCACTATTTTTCAATTCATACTGGACGATTTCTCATACGTAAAATTTATCTTGCTATTGCAATAAGGATCAAAGCACTAAATCGATTAGCGTGTTGCACGAAATTAGTGTTATAAGCATTAATTGAATACCTGACTGGAAGGCTTAATTCTTGATCAATAGTCATTATATACTTTCTATATGAGTAGCGTACATGAGAAAGATCTATCTAGCCAAAAACAATTTCTCATATCATAATCTTTTGACTGTATCAATGTATACAATAACGATCAGTGGTCTCTTTTCGTTATGGTATACTCCTATTATTTGTACTCGTGTGCTTCGCCTGCGACAGCAAAATTATTCGGCAGCAGTTCTTCTCTACAGTTTATTAATTACATGACAAGCGCCTTTTCTTTATTTCTTTTCTTCCTAAAAAAATGTCTTCTTCGCTTTTATTACAAATCCGAAAAGACTCAAAGTACAACATAAAATAACGGGTGATGTAAAAGTTCCCAGAAAAATGTCGCTTCATTTTTCATGGGATATAACATATTCTGGAAAAATCAAAAACACTTATTCAGGGTCGACGTTGAAAGCTCTTTCTAACTGTGTGTTCAAAAAACTCTAGCATGTCTTGTTTTTGAGTATTAAGCAAATTTTTGAACAGCACTAAAATGTGTTCTGCCAAAAAACTCGAAATGGTTGCCGCAAAAGTTTTTATAACTTTATTGTGTCCATTCTATTGGATGATGTTCATCTTCTTTTCTGTTAAATTCCTCATTCAATTGTTGACAAACCATGCAGAATTTATTATGGCATCGTTTCAGAAAATACCGGAAAAAACTTACCGCGCAGTTCCAACTATTTACTAGATTGATGCTCTTTTTGTTTTGCTCGATGTTCGTATTCGTCCTTTCCTCTGGTTTGCGACATAAAGGCTTTGATGTATTTATATCGGTAGTATCCTGAAATTCTTGCCGTCATCATTTCATATGTTTTCATAAAACGGCGCTATTAAAAACCCTATAGACTCATTACCGTTTTCATATCCAAATTTTACTGATGTTTCGTATCTCCTCGTTTTTTTAATTTTTCATCATGTTATAAAAAGCAATCTTCTACTATTTAGCAAGAGGTTTCTGAAGAATTAAACGGCAAATCTAACGAAGAGAAGAGCAAAAAAATACTACTGAACAAATAGAAGTTAATTCGAAAAGACTGAGAAATTATTTTCTCCTGCTACAGTCATTTCCAGCTGTTTTTACAGAACACATTGCTTAGTACTCAAAAACAAGACATGCTAGAGTTTTTTGAACACACACTTAGAAAGAGCGTTCAACGTAGACCCTGAATAGGTGTTTTTGATTTTTTCAGAATATGTTATATCCCATGAAAAATGAAGCAACATTTTTCCGGGAACTTTTGCATCACCCGTTAGTTAGTATACATCCATGTACCACTGAGTATGATTGACCTGTGTAGAGAACATATGTGAGTTTCACCTTTTTAGATTCAAAAGAGCTGCACTAACACATTTCTTCGATAAACAAAAAAACAAAATAAATTAAATCATAACAAAAACTTATATAATTTTTCTTTATTAAGTACTTATGACAAATATCAAATATTTAAAGTGAAAATTACAAAAATCAAAATAATAATATCAATATAAGTGTAAGAAATCCTGATTCTTCATGATACTTATTTAATCATTAACATCATTTCTATCATTAGTATCTGTATTTTCTTCAACATCATCTATATGATCATTGAATGGAAGACGTTGCAAAAAATAATTAAATGAGATACAATTTTACTTCATTTTTTTCCCAAAAAATTTCTCTAAAGACTTACTTAATTAGTGATGATATTGGTGGTGGAATAAATAAGGCATATTCATCAATGTACCCAGGGAATAAAAAAATGAAAAAAATTTCATTTAAATGATTATTTCCAAACTTTTCATTAAAAAAATTCCGCTACTTTAATTATTTCACAGAAATCAAACTCATCCCAGTAGTTCATGATTTTTGTATCATTTTCATTGCCTTAAATTGTTTTTTCTAGAAAAATTAAAATTACTGCATTGATTTCATTTTTTTTGCATGATTTTCATGAGGTAATCTGAATTTTTCTGAAAAACTATAATAATAACAGTACTTTC